TTTTCCACAAGATGTAGTTTAATTTAGAAAAGGAAAACTATTTCTTGTTTTAAACTGTAATTAAATTCTCACTCCAGGTTAAACATTGCACACACAGGGATGTTATATGTGAGTGAGCACGTTCAATTGGAAACAGACCTTTCAGGATTGTTTTGGTTGTAAACTGGAAAATGGTACCAATTCTAGGGTTTTACCACAGGTCAGGATGACTTTTTAAAAAAAAACCCTTCAATTGAAAAAATGTTAAAATCTATGCTTACTGTGAAAAATGCAAAAAATATACAAGGATAGGGGATAAAATTTTCTTCTCTCCTGCTCTGCCCCTCATTCCATCTGTTAGACAATCACTGTCAACAATCTGAAGGTAACTTTCCAGACTATATGCCTGTGGGCACACGTGTGTGTGGGCCTCCTTTTATTTTTTGTCTGCTCATTTACTTTTTCTCTCAAGTTTTAAAAAATTCTGATAAAATAGATATGACATAAATCTGCCATTTTCATTTTTAAATGTACAATTCGTTGGCGTTAATTTCATTCACAATGTTGTGCAACCATCACTAGTTCCAAGACTTTTTCGTCACCCCAAACAGTAGCCATTAATCCCATTAATCATTAATGCCCCATTCCTCCCTTGTCCCAATTCCTGGTAATCTCTACTTGCTCTACGAATTTGCCTAGTCCAGATAATTCACATAAGTTGAATCGTACAGTGTTTGTCCTTTTGTGTCACTTATTGTAATGTTTTCATGTTTTTTTTTGCTTTTTCCCCCCTTTTTAATGTTTATTTATTTTGAGAGAAAGATAGAATGTGAGTGGGGGAGAGGCAGAGAGAGGGAGAGGGAGAGAATCCCAAGCAGGCTCTGTGCTATCAGGACAGAGCCCAACATGGGGCTCGAACTCATGAACCGTGAGATCATGACACCTGAACCAAAATCAAGAGTTGGACACTTAACCGACTGAGCCACTCAGACACCCCTGTTTTCAAGATTTATGCATATTGTAGCATGTATCAGAACTTCATTCCTTTTTATGGCGGAAGAATATTCCATCAAAGACCAAATTTTGTTTATCCATTCATCTGCTGATGACACTTAAGTTGTGTTCATTCGCTTTTGACAGACATGATCATAATATACACAATTTCAGGAGCTTTTCCCCTTTCAGTTAATACATTTCAGGGGCTACCTTGTCCTATTGGATGGAAATACCACCACTTATTTACTACTCTTCTATTAGTAGACACATAAACTGCTGCCATATTTTTGCTATTAAAACAGTGCTAGAGCGAACGTACTTGTGCATACAGTGTTTTGTATTCAGACCAGTTTGTCTGGAAGACAAACTCTTAAAAGTTCTATTACCTGGTCAATGCGAATGTGCATTTAACATTTTGACAAACACTGCCAAGTTAGCTTCCAAAAATATGGCCACTGTTGACAGTCTCATCGACAGTGATCATGAGAGCCTTTCTGTCCATGTCTTTCCCACAAGGGGTATTTAGAACTTCTTTCATTCTTGCCAGTTTGACAGGTGCACTTGGTTATTTAAATAAGGTATACTAGGGGCGCCTGGGTGGCGCAGTCGGTTAAGCGTCCGACTTCAGCCAGGTCACGATCTCGCGGTCTGTGAGTTCGAGCCCCGCGTCAGGCTCTGGGCTGATGGCTCGGAGCCTGGAGCCTGTTTCCGAGTCTGTGTCTCCCTCTCTCTCTGCCCCTCCCCCGTTCATGCTCTGTCTCTCTCTGTCCCAAAAATAAATAAACGTTGAAAAATAATAATAATAAATAAATAAATAAGGTATACTATAATCAGGGCTGATATTCAGTAGCAATGCATACGTGTAGCTGCACTTAATATTAAAATACACAATTTTCTCCGTAGTGTTGGGCAACCGATCACTACCCTCGGCCCTACCCTCGAACCCCGCCCATCTCCACACAATCCAGCAACTGAAGGGAAACACCCTGCCCGGCACTACGGCCTATACCCATCTAAGTTGGTCCTTATTTGTGCTGTGCAGTTAATGTTTAGAATCTTTCTCGTGCCTCCATGAGTCAAATTTTTTTTTGTGAGACCCATTGATTATCTCCTTGCTCTAATTCTGAATCTCTAGTCCTGTAAAGCGATCATCTGTCTCAATTACAACACCTGTGCTCCTGAGCTCAGGGACCCTGTCCTTCTCATTCATTTTTTCACTCCCAGAATGTTTTTCAAGTACATCAGATACAGCAGTTGCTGGACCAGGATCCCAGAATATTATTGTGAAAACACCAACCCAGCCTCACAGGACCTACAGACCGGTAAGAAAGGTAGGAAAAACAACTGAGGAAGCAAATAAAGAAAATAATTCCCATTAAGAATGAGTGCCCTAGGGGCGCCTGGGTGGCGCAGTCGGTTAAGCGTCCGACTTCAGCCAGGTCACGATCTCGCGGTCCGTGAGTTCGAGCCCCGCGTCGGGCTCTGGGCTGATGGCTCAGAGCCTGGAGCCTGTTTCTGATTCTGTGTCTCCCTCTCTCTCTGCTCCTCCCCCGTTCATGCTCTGTCTCTCTCTGTCCCAAAAATAAATAAACGTTGAAAAAAAAAAATTTAAAAAAAAAAAAGAATGAGTGCCCTAAAGGAAAGAGGCTCTGATGACAATGAATGATTAACTTCTGCCCTCACTGCCTATCTGTATGTCCTTTCTTATACCTACTTTATTTTCTTTTAAAAATTAAAAAAAAATTTTTTTTTTAATTTTTTTTTCAACGTTTATTTATTTTTGGGACAGAGAGAGACAAGAGCATGAACGGGGGAGGGGCAGAGAGAGAGGGAGACACAGAATCGGAAACAGGCTCCAGGCTCCGAGCCATCAGCCCAGAGCCTGACGCGGGGCTCGAACTCACGGACCGCGAGATCGTGACCCGGCTGAAGTCGGGCGCTTAACCGACTGCGCCACCCAGGCGCCCTAAAAAAATTTTTTTTAACATTTATTTATTTTTGAGAGACAGAGTGAGACAGAGCACGAGTGGGGGAGGGGCAGAGAGAGGGGGTTACACAGAATCCAAAGCAGGTTCCAGGCTCTGAGCTGTCAGCACAGAGCCCGATGCAGGGCTCAAACTCACAAACTGTGAGATCATAACCTGAGCTGAAGTCAGACGCTTAACCCATTGAGCCACCCAGGCACCCCACCTATACCTACTTTAAATAGCCAAGCTCATCGCCTGTCAGACTGGCAAGGATGAGAAAATTTCTGAATGTCCCTTGTTTCAAGGATATGGACAAAAAGACCCTCAAAGTTAGTGTTGATGAGAATGACAACAAATGTAACAGTGATATTTTTGGAAGACAGTGTCATGGGGGGGCGGTGGTTCTCCTTAGTAGACAGGTCTGAGACAGAAAGGAAAGTGCAAAGGAGTCAGGTGGAGGGAGGGAGAGTATACAGGCTGCACTGGGTAGTGTGTGCAAAGGCTCACGGGTAGTGTGTGCAAAGGATCTGTTGTGATTGAAAGGGTCAGGAACAAGGTATGAGTGAGCCCAGAATGCAAGCAGGAGAAGCTGGAGATAAATCCGGCTAGGGCCGGATCACACCGTGCCTTACAGATTGCAGCCAAGAGTCTGAGATGACCTGCTCTGTAATTTAAGATCCTACACCACTTAAGTTTATATTCTCCAATTGTTCCCGAAGCACCTAAGTGACTACAAGTTTGAGAGACACACTGAGCCCCCTGTAGCTTTCTTTTATCCTTCCTAGTGCCCGTGGGTTCCCAAGATAGCAGCGTGGACGGTACATACGCGCCCAGGGTGAGACATATCCGCCTTCACTTCCTCTGCACCCTTTAGGCTCCTCTACCTCTCTGCTCCACAGAAAACAACAGAGATTTCCATCTCTGAAGGACACTTTACTCAAGGATAAAATCAGCCACTAATTATTGAGCACTTTCTATGTGCTCACCATTCTCCCAGGTGCTTCGTATAATATTAACTCATTTCATCCACGTATCCTCATCTACCCAAGAAAACAGAGGCGATGGAAGATGAGCCATTTTGACCACAGTCATAGAAGTGGTCAGTGGAAGACCAAGAATCTTGAGTCCATGTCTCTGACTGCTCAAGGATAGTCCTCTCCAGCCGGGCTGGTGCGTGGAAATTGCAATCCACCTGTTTATTTCACTCAAGGAAGCATTTCGAGAGACTGTGTAAATGCTGTCCTTAACTGTTGTACATTCTGCTTGGATACAACTCATACTTTTCACATTATACATCAATCTCCCTCAAATCAAATATGGACTGTGTCAAATATGGATTTCTGAGATCACCTAATGTAGAAACATCCTGAGACATCATACGCTAGCACTGCCCACGAGCCTGGCAGTTTGGTTTCCAGTTTGGGCTGCCACTGAAATATTTCAATTTCCCTCTTATTTTATTGTAAAAAGCCATGGAAAATAGGGGAAAGACGCAAAGGACTAACACTAAAGGTACAGAGCACACCTGTACTACAAGAAAGCTAAGGACAAAAATCACTGCATGTATAAAAATAATCAACTATTAGCTTGCTCAATTGTCCTCTGGACTTAAGCCGGTCAGTGTTCAACTGAGAACAAAAAGATAATAACTTTACAACTGTGTGTATAAAATATTGGAAATATATTGTAGGAAATGTGTCAACGGCACAGCACAGTTAGTACATCAGTTATTTTGGCTTTTGTTTGTTTTGCTTTCTGAAAAGAGAACCCCTTTGTAAAAGGTAAGTCTATTTTTCAACTTTTGGGCAGCTAGCTTTTATTTGAGAGTAAGGAATTAACTGTATTTACTAATTTTCTTCCTCATTTCTAGAACACAGATATTTTGATGGTAGATCATATTATGTATCCTATCCTATCCTATCCTATCCTATCCTATCCTATCCTATCCTATCCTATCCTATCCCCACTTGGTAAGTCTCTGTACACTCACACACATACGTGTAGAAACCCACTTTCCTGTTCAGCATCAGAGTTCAGCATTTACAGGTGTCCACTTACCTTTAGTAGTAGGTATTCTTCTGACTTCCTCTTTCTGCTTTCACTGTAATAATCTTCGGATTTTGTTTGCCATGCATAGTTGTCATCTTTTTCTTTCACACATTCTTTCTTCCGGATTTCTCACCAAAGCCTGTAACCCAGAAAAGAGACGCTCCTTAATTTCTGTAGGCACGCAGGAAAGAACTAGAGTTCTCAAATCAGTGACACTTCTAATTTATTTCTAGTTTTCCCTTGGCTGGCTACGGTTTAATCACCGTTTTAGAAATTTACCTAACGAGATTTAAAATAGAGCTATCTTGACATACAAATGAAATTGAGGCTGTTCTCAACAACTAAGTGATTTGGCCTCTTACATAATGCATTTCATTGAATAGACAGTGTTACCGTCTCTGTAGAAGGAGATCCCACAGGGCTGAAAGTTATCTACAGTAGTTGTAAATTCAGGGTGACAAAAGTGGGAGAAATCAATAAAGCATCACCGCAGAATCCATGTTACAGAATTACTGGAACCAGGATAGCACTCCCAAATCTCGTTTTTAACAGATGTCAGTTGTGGAGAGAATGAAGCACATGTCATGAATACTGATGAAATTTAGTGTGTGTCTTGCGCCCTAAGATGCTCATTTATATGTATTTGTCATTTTCTCTATAAAAGAAAAGGAAACAGCTATCCCTCGGAAGCTCTCCTTAAGTCAGGAAGTGTGCTTCTTGTCAGCTGTGGGCCAAACTGTTTCACACCCAGGAGTGTGTAAAAAGTGGACAAGAAGGCGGAAGCAGCAGGTGTGGCATTCACTGTTTTGCCGTGTAAGTGGATAAAACTCGACTTGTCCAACCATCCCGCACTGCACCTCCCCATTCCACCTGAGCCTCAGCTCTCCCTGGACATGGACACAGGCGTGAAGTGGAAGATGGCGGCCGGAAGCAGAAAGAATTCAGGACAATTTGTTCATCAGCACCTTTGCTCCTGTCTCCTTACTGATGCCATATGATACACCCATCTTTTCTAACAGGAACGAGATATTCCAGGGGCTCCACCACAATGAGAGCTGAGAGTTTCTCTTCTTTTCTTTTTAATGTTTATTTATTATATTGAGAGAAAGAGCATGAGTGTGCAAGGAGCGGAGAGAGGGTGACAGAGAATCTCTGCGCTGTCAGCAGACAGCCTGATGCAGGGCTCGAATTCACAAACCATGAGCTCATGACCTGAGCCAGAACCAAGCGTTGGATGCTTAATGGACTGAGCCACCCAGGTACCCCAGCTGGGAGTTTCTTGTGGGCAATATTTGCAGTATCCTTTTAGGACAAAAATAGATTTTAGGAAACAAACTAATTTACTTATCTTTGAATCTTAAAGCCAGTAAGACCCTAATTTTATGTGAGGTGTGTTAAATTCAATGTTAAAATGCTAACAAAAAAATTAAATTTAAATAGTGGGATCTAATGTTGATAGAGTGTAGCCATGGGACTGCAGTAATGGTTTGGGTAGGATGAAATCAGAATGAAGACCTCTCACATCCAGCCATCTCCTTAGACCCCGTGGCTTCCAGGGAAAATACTGGGTATAGAATATACGAGAGGGATAGTGTAGTCCCAGCCCCCACTTTACGGTAAGATAACTGAGGCTTCAAGAGAGGGAAGGGGACCTGCAGGAGAACCACATGGAGAACTGGCACCATCGTGACTCCGTACGTTTTCTGCTTTATCAAAACGTCTCACTACAACTTCCATGTGTCCACCAGGTTACATAAGTTCCTGGACTGGGGGTTAGACCTTGTAAATAGTGATATAACAAGCAGCCTGGATCACAGGGCAGAAGAGAGAGAAAGGCAATCATTTATCGAGTGCCCACCATAAGCCATTTAGTGCACAGGGCATAGCACTTACATTGCAGCTAATGCTTCTGGGAACTGTGAAAATCATATAGGAATCATTATCTTATGAAGATGAGGAAACTGAGTCACGGCAAGAGGATACTTTGTTTGAGGTGACACACAGCTAGTAAGTTCTTTGTTGTTTTTGTTTTTGTTTTTTTTTATTTTAATTCCCATACAGTTAATATACAGTGTTGTAATAGTTTCAGGTGTATGACATAGTGATTCAACACTTCTATATATCACCTGGTGCTCATCACAAGTGCACTCCTTAACCTCCATCACCTATTTCACCCATTCCCCCCCCCCCACCTACCTCCCTTCTGGTAACCATCGGTTTGTTCTCTTTTATTAAGAGTCTGCTTCCAGCACCTGGGTGGCTCAGTCAGGTGAGCATCCGACTTCAGCTCAGGTCATGCTCTTACGGTTCGGTTCGTGAGTTCAGCCCCGCATCGGGCTCTGTACTGACAGCTTAGAGCCTGGAGCCTGCTTCCGATTATGTGTCTCCGTCTCTCTCTGCCCCTTTCCTGCTCACACTCTGTCTCTCTCTGCCTCTCAAAAATAAAGAAAACTAATTAAAAAAAAAAGAGCCTGCTTCTTAATTTGTCTCTCTTTTTTCCTTTGCTCATTTGTTTTGCTTCTTAAATTCCACATATCAGTGAAATCCTATGGTATTTGTCTGACTGACTGATTTCTTTCTTTCTTTCTTTCTTTCTTTCTTTCTTTCTTTCTTTCTTTCTTTTTAAGCAGCAGGTAAAAGTTTATTAGAGTAAGATTAGAAAGGAAGAATAACAGGAAATCTCTCTTTACAGAGAGGGGATATTCGAAAGTGAATGACTTATTTCACTTAGCATTGTAATTTCTAGCTCCATCCATGTCACTGCAAATGGCAATATTTCATTCCTTTTTATAACTGGATAGTATTCCATTTTATATACACACATACACACACCATGTCTTTATCCATTCATCTATTGATGGACACTTGGAATGCAAACTGGTGCTGCCATTCTGGAAAAACAGTGTGGAGTTTCATTAAAAAGTTAACAATAGAACTACCCTATGAGCCAGCAGTTGCACTACTGGGTATTTACCCCAAAATACAAAAACACTAATTCCAAGGGATACATGCACCCTTATGTTTATAGCAACCTTATCTACAATAGCTAGTAAGTTCTTTGATTCCATGGCCCGATATACTCTGACTTCCTACCTGTAATGAGCAGCAACTGTAAACCCAGGAAATATGCATCTATTTGAAAACTCCAGATCCCAAGAACAGAAACGGAATGGATAGTGTTTTGTTTTTTTTTTAATTTTTTTTTTCAAACGTTTTATTTATTTTTGGGACAGAGAGAGACAGAGCATGAACGGGGGAGGGGCAGAGAGAGAGGGAGACACAGAATCGGAAGAAATGGATAGTGTTTTAAAGAAGACTAAAGAAGAGAACAGAGGAAACATAAGTTAAAAGCACTATGGGAGTATATTCAACAATTCAACTCTTAATGTGTAGGAGGGAAATGTCTTAAGATCTTTGAATATACCAAATATGCAAATGCAATTAGAACATATCATGTAACTTCACCCATAAAATTCAGTGAAGGATACTTGTCATATTAAGAACCTACAGGTGAGCAAATAAGTTCAAGGTCTCAGTGAGTTAGGATGCCTGAGATATGATCACCTCTTTGCTTAGGCTGTCATAACAAATGCCATATACTGAGTGGTTTGAACAGCCTTCACAGTTCTAGAGGCTGGAAGTCCAAGGTCAAGGTGGCAACAAGGTTTGGTTTCTCCTGAGGTGCATGTATATTTTTGAATTAGTATTTTTATTTTCTTTGGGTATACACCTACCCGTGGAATTACCGGATCATATGGTAATTCTATTTTTAATATTTTGAGGGACGTCCATACTGTTTTCCACAGTGGTTATACCAGTTTGCCTTCCCATCAACAGTGCACGAAGGTTCCTTTTTCTCCACATTCTGGCCAACACTTGTTGTTTCTCATGTTGTTGATTTTAGCCATTCTTACAGGTGTATGGTGATATCTCACTGTGGTTTTGCTTTGTATTTTTCTGATGATTAGTGACGTTGAGCATCTTTTCACAAGTTCATTGGCCATCTGTATATCATCTTTGGAAAAATGTTTATCATGTCTTCTGCCCATTTTTAAATTGGATCATTTGTTTTTTGTGTGTTGGGTTGTAGAAATTCTTGGTATAATTTAGATATTAATTCCTTATTGGATACATCACTTGCAAATATCTCCCCCCATTCAGCAGGTTGTCTTTTCGTTTTGTTGCTGGTTTCCTTTCCTGTGCAAAAGCTTTTTATTTTGGGGTAGTCCCAACAGTTTAACTTGCTTTTATTTCCCTTACCAAAGGAAACATCTAGAAAAATGTCTCTATGGCTGATGTCAAAGAGATCGCTGCCTATGTTTTCTTCTAGGAATTTTATGGCTTCAGGGGTCACATTTAGGCTTTGGTCCATTTTACTGTTATGTGTGGTATAAGACAGTGGTCCAGTTTCATTCTTTTGCATGTAGCTGTCCACTTTTCCCAATGCCATTTGTTGAAAAGAAGGTCTTTTTCCCATTGTATATTATTGCCTCCTAGGTCATAGATTAATTGGCCATATAATCATGGGTTTATTTCTGGGCTTTCTATTCTGTTCCATTGATCCACGTGTCTATTTTTGTGCCAGTACCATACTGTTTTGATTACAACAGCTTTCTAGTGTATCTTGACATACGGGATTGTGACACCTCCAGTTTTGTTCTTCTTTTCGAAGATTGCTGTAAAGGTCTCATTTTCACTTAATTACCTCTTCGAAGGCTTTCTCTCCAAATATAGTGACATTCTGAAGTATCGGGGGGTCAGAGCCTCAACATATGAATCTTAGGACACAATTTAGTCCATACTGCCCACTCAGTAACTATTTCTGTTGCCACAGCAGTGCAAAGCCAGGTACTAGAAAAACAACAAACCTGCTACATGCCATCAACATTCAGCGTCACCCATAAAGATTCGAAGCCCTCTACTATTTGAATTCAGGCCCCTAAGGGTCTATTACAGGTTTTAAATTTTAAAAAATAAAGGTGGGAAAGGTCATGATTCAACAACCTTTGGTCACAACGGTCTAAACCAGGGGTCAGAAAAGTATCGCCTGCAAATTAAATCCAGCCTGCTGACTGTTTCTGCAGGTAAAGTTTTTTGGCACGCAGTCACATCCAGTCATTTAAAGATTGCCTCTGGTCGCTCCGGAGCTACAATTACACAGCTGAATAGCTGTGCCGGAGACCCAAGACCAAAAGTATTTACTATCTGGCCTTTGACAGAG